CCATTAATCAACTTATTAGATTTAACTTACTGAAAAAAATAACAATACTTAAAAATGTCTTGTATATGCTAAGTTAAATTACATGAAGTATATATACATTTACATATATACCTCTGAACATCTCAAATAATCAACTAGAATTGAAAAATTCTTCCTTTGAATAACAGCTTTTTTTAACGTTTTTATTAGCTCGCTTTCTTGTCCGGTACAAATTTTGCAATCAATTTTATTCTAACTTCCCGATGAGCTAGAGAAACATAGCTCACAAATGGAAGACAACGCAATATTATATCATTAAATTTTCATATTTCCCTTGGGCTACGCCCCATGGGCTTGTTTTTATTTAACAAATAATTTTTAACCAGATACTTAAAGTTTTGGTTATTAATTTTGCTTTTTAAATTTTCAGGTAAATGATTTAAACATTAAGAGCCAAAATGAGTAGCTGTTTTATTAAAGAAACTAAGCCTATGTTGGGCAACGATATAAACAACTCATGGATTGCTGGCTCAGTGTTGGACGCGCGGTCGAGCTCCCCCCACCATCTACTGGCAGAAGCCGACGCAGCCCATACATTTACCATTATAAAACGCACTTTTTATTTGCAGCTCTGTTGAAATTCACAGGGATAAAATATTGCTAACGCTTGTCAAACTCTTTTTACTAGTTAAACCTTTTATGTCTGTTTTGTTTCTTGCAGAAAATAGCCCATCTGAATTCTTTAAAACTGCAAATTCACTAAACCCGTTTTGTAGATGTTTTTAGACAACTGATATTGCTAGTTCCAAATTGTCCATGGTAAAATAATAAGTGATTACAAAGGGGAAATAGAAAGTACAATATTTGTAATTGAACTTCTACTTTAATAATCGAAAAAATAGTACATAAACATTTAGAATAATTTTGCTAAGTCTTTGCCGCAGTGGTAACGTTATGTTTGACGTAAACGAGATATTTTTTCTTCCAATGTTTAATGACAATGTATCTTACAAAATAATCATAAAAGAAATACGCCTATCACGTTAATGTCAAGCATAGATTTGCGGTAAAAACTGGACAAATGTAGTAGGGGTTTTTAAGAGTTCAAATGTGTTATTTTCTGCAATAAAAGAAGAAGACATAAAGTTTAGAATAGTAAAAAGTGTTTGGCATCATTAGCAATATTTTATATCTATATATTTAAACGGAGCAGCAACTTAAAAAGGTGCGTTTTACAATGGTGAGTGTATGGGCTGCGTCGGCTACTGCCAGTAGATGGTAGGGGGAGCTAGACCGAAAACAGCGCCCGCAGTGCTACTGAGAGCGCAATCCATGTAGTTTTTACATCGTTGATGTTGGGTTAAGTTTAAATTGTTCTTATGTCTAGTATTATGAGAATGTATACTACTGCGCAGATCTAATTCATTATATTTATTTCTAACACACATGCATTCAACATATCCATTCAAGGATATATTGGTCATAAAGTGTCAAAATATTAAGCTCAGAAAATTTATTTTTCACTGATACTTCGTCTTCTAGATTTAATATAATTCTCAAAGCTTCCTTCTGAAATACGGTATCAAGATTGTATCTAAGTTGCCTTTACTTGTACCACCATAAACAACTACACCATAAAATATGTGAGAGTGGATATGTGCAAAATAAATAGTTTTTAAAGTGTCAAGACTACATAACAAAGACATTTTTCTAAGAACATATATACCCGTTGCAATTTTGTTAGCCAATTTTAGTGTATGTTGGTCCCAACTAAGATTATTGTCAACTTCAACTCCTAAAAATCTGGTAATTTTAATTGATTCTATTTTACTTCCCCCCACTAAAATATCTATTTCTCTAGCATTTTTATTTTGTTTTGTAGAAAAAATAATTTGATTAGTTTTATTGCCGTTAAGAAATAAATTATTCTGAATAAAAAAATTGTCAATAATTTTTAATTGCTCTTGACACGCTTTTTTAAGGTCAGGGTAAGATTTAGCAGTGGCTATCAAGTTTGCATCATTAGCATAAAGTACTAACTGACTTTCTGTTCCTAAAATATTTTTTTAAAATTGAAGGCATTCCTTGGACATAACACAAAAATAATAAAGGCCCCAGAATGGAGCCTTGAGGAGCTCCATGTTTAATAGTAAAATTTTCTGATCTATACCTGGTTAGTGTATTTTGTTTTTTTGACATTATTTCTACATATTGCATTCTTTCTGAAAGATATGACCTAAACCAATTTAAAGTAGTGTTAAAAATACTTAAAGATTTTAATTTATGTAAAAGAACTTCGTGAGATATGCTATCGAATGCTTTTGATAAATCCATAAAAATACCAACTACGTCATTTCCTTTGTTAACAGCATCAATAATAGTTTCTGAAAAATGTAAAAGAGCAGTAGTAGTAGATTTACCCTTACGAAAACCATGCTGTTGTTTGTCAAAGATATTATTATTATGCAAATGATCAACCAATCGATTATACATTACACGTTCGTATATTTTTGATATGGATGGCAAAACTGATACAGGGCGATAATTACCGATTTCATTCCTTTCACCTTTTTTGTAAATAGGTATTACTCTAGACATTTTTAAGCAGTCAGGGAAAATACTGGTTATTAATGAACTGTTTATTAAATGCACGAGTAGTTTTAACAGTGATTTCCCTATGAATTTGATTAGTTTTACGGGTACTTCGTCATGACCACTAGATGACTTATTTTTTAAAGTTGAAATTATTTTTTCTATCTCATCTTCATCTACTGGCCTACATCTGAAAGGAATTTCAATATTTATTTGATCATGATGTAGTTGTATTTTGATCGTCTTTAGATTGAATATTACTTGGGGCACTATTGATCAAATTCTCTATTACCTCAATAAAGTAATTGTTAAAACCGTTTGAGATGCTCAGAGGGTTTGATATCACCTTATCGTTAATTCTAATTTCATGAGGAGGATCCTTAATACATTTAGATTTATTACCAGTTTCAAAATTAATTATCTCCCATGTTTTCTTACTAACATTTTCTGATTTATTTATAAGTTGATCGTAAAAAGTTTTCTTTGCCTTGATCAATCTACTTTTATAATTTGCATTTAAGAGTTTACAATGATTCATCATTTCTACATTACCAGACAGTTTTGCTTGTTTTGTAAGCTCAACAATATCTTTTTGTTCTGTTAATAAATCCTGGTTTATCCAATTAAATTTACTTTTATTCAAATATTTTTTCACCCTCTTTTTAGGAAACACTAAATCATAGACTAACCAACACAAGTGGACTTCTCATCCCATTGTAAATTTTGAAGCTCGTTTTTCATGTCTTATGTACGCCACACTGGGCGCTAGTGTCGGCGAAATTTTGTTTCTATTATTTTAGGGTTAATTTCTTGATTTGTGCTTTACTGTTTGGTTAAATAACTAAGGGACAATTTATTGTTTATGATTAGATCGTATTATTTGGTTAAACGAGGTTTTAAATTACTGTATTAACGGGAAACAAATTCTAAACAAAACACGACCTCTACATAAACCGTACAGAACTAACAATAAAATTGTCTTCAGCTGTTCCATTAGGATGAGAAATCTACTAAGGGAGTATGTTTTATCTATGACTAAATCAAAGTTATATTGGAAAATACTATTAAACAATTTAAACTTATCTTCTACTTTAGCCATGTATACAGAGATCCAATTCTCTTGTGATAAGATATTATTAAAAACATTCATATTATTTACAGAAAAATCTCTTTGTTCAATTTACACATAGTTATTTACAAAATCTTTATTTCCGGGAATAGTTAACTCCAAGATCTGACCATCATGGTCTGAGAGGGCTGTTGCAATACCAGTTACATGAGAAAGTGATTTGTCTATGTTTGTCAAAATATTATCAATAGCAGTTGAAGTATTTGGTGTGACCCCTGTGGGAAAATCCACCAGGTAATGAACACTATGGCTCTTTAGAATGTTTTTAAAATGTTGAATTTCAGGAGTACACTTCAAAACATTTAAATTAAAATCACCTGCAATAACAAAATGTCTTACATCCTTTAAAGCAGATAAAATTTCTATTAACTTGTCTAACCTAGCTAAGAATTCCAAATTTTGAAGTTGAGGTTTTCTGTTAACTCCTACAAGTACAAAAGACCATTTATTGATTTTATATTTAGCCACGCAGCATTCGAAAAGCTTATCCTCTGTTAGATCCTCTATTTTTTCAGAGTTAGAGCCTTTGAATTCAAACCCTCTCTTGAAAGAATTACAACACCCCCTCCCCTCCTGAGGTAGTAGACCGACTATAGCTAGATGTGATATAGAAATTATTCAGGTTAAATCTTTCTAATCCAAATTGTTTCATATCAGGTATAAAAGTAATGAAATCCATTAAGAAACCTTTTGAAACAATTTTGTTAAACCCCTACTATATATTTCTCTTTAATAATATCCACACAACCGCAGTAAAAGATCAGAATTTTGCCTCATTTGTGGTAGACAATGAAAGTCTCTTCAAGACCGCGGGGTGTGTTTATATATTGCCACGATCATAGAAGACGATAATTATGTCTACACAACTGCGGGAAATAGTCAAAATATATAGTACAAACAATACAATGAGGAATCTTATAATGTCAAGTAAAAAGATTAAGCATTTAATTTACTGGAAGAGTCAGATTGGGTCAAAGCTACATTGGGTCAATCCTTGTCGGAGGTGGTGGTTGTGGTGGACACAGGAGTGTGTGAAGCTATAAGCTGTGTCAATAAAAGAGAGGCTGATATTGTGTCACAGTCTCTAGTCACACTTACTATAAACACTGTCTATGATCTGTTGTAGGTGGAAGAGTCAGATTGGGTCAAAGCTACATTGGGTCAATCCTTGTCGGAGGTGGTGGTTGTGGTGGACACAGGAGTGTGTGAAGCTGTAGGCTATGTCAATACAAGAGAGGCTGAAATTTTGTCACAGTCTCTAGTCACACTTACTATAAACACTGTCTATGATCTGTTGTAGGTGGGAGAGTCAGATTGGGTCAAAGCTACATTGGGTCAATCCTTGTCGGAGGCGGTGGTTGTGGTGGACACAGGAGTGTGTGAAGCTATAGGCTTTGTCAATAAAAGAGAGGCTGATATTGTGTTGAAGTTATTGGCCACAGTAACCAAGGTACATTGTGATTATAAACATTAAAAAATGTAGTTTATCAGTTTTTATTTGTTCTTGAACATTGTGATTTACTTATTTTGGCCTTCCATACACGGTGATCAACTCAAGGAGGCCACCAGGTGGATATCGGAAACGGTAAGAATTAGAGAAAACTTAAAATGGGGGGGGCATTTTTTTGTGGCAGTTAAAAATATGAATTTAGTTTTTTTGGAATTCGGCCACCATTTTCCAATATGGCGGTCAACTTTGAAATTTCTTATGTAACTCCTTTATATTTTACTATGTTTTCAGATAGTACATGCATTTAAAAACACTTTTGTTCTCGTCACTTTTTCTGTAAAGCTACTTGTTTAGGAGTTACAGCAAGTTACACCTAAGAAAAAATTACTTGTTGTGTACATTTTGCATAATGCAGCTCCTAAATGAATAAGTTTAGAGCAAAAATTTGTTGAGTAAATAAGTCTTTAAACTGCATCTAAATTATAATACAACCGCCGCAGTAAACCTGCAGACTAAGCGAATTTCCATTTACCTGGCTGGATTTTTACTAAAATAATTCCTGAAAATTGTCAGATTTATTTCCTATTTAAATAACATTAATTTTAATGAGTACCTAGGTTTGCTGCTACAGGGAAGGTATGGATTTTTTTATTGAAATGTTGATAGCTTAGTATGAAATAAACAAAATTGCCAAATTTGATTAAAATCTATATTTATAAAAGAGGAAGTTTGTATATTTGAACGTTATGGACTCTGAAACCGCTCTATAGAATGCCACGAAACTTGGTACATACATGTACAATTTCATAGAATAAGTTTATACGCCAGCAATTTCGTGATCTGTCCAATCGGCTCCGCCCCTACAGGGTGTCTAGTAGTCGGGAAAATCGGGAAAGTCGGGAATTAGTATTGAATTTCAAAATGGTCTTGAAAAGTCGGGATTTAGTCTTAAATTTGATTTCAAAGTCGGGAATCTTTATGATTTTGCCGCGATCTTTACGTGGCCGTTTACGTAACCACGAAAGCTAATGATGATGATGTCCTCACGGCCTCGGGAAATGTTCACGGTTCTGCCGCGATAGTGGACGACGACGATGACGTTTCCGAAACCACGGGAGACGACGATGACCTTTCCGTGACCGCGGGAGATGACGATGACGTTTCCGTGACCGTGGGAGACGACGATGATATCTGCTCGGCCGCGGGAATTGTTCATGATTATGTCGCGATCGCGGACGACGACGATAACATTTCCGTGACCGTGGGAGAAGACGATGAAGTTTCCGTGACCGCGGGAGATGACGATAACGTTTCCGTGACCGCGGGAGAAGACGATGAAGTTTCCGTGACCGCGGGAGATGACGATGACGTTTCCGTGACCGTGGGAGACGACGATGATATCTGCTCGGCCGCGGGAAATGTTCATGATTATGTCGCGATCGCGGACGTCGACGATAACGTTACCGTGACCGCGGGAGATGACGGTGATGTCTAAACAGCCGTGGGAAATGTTCATGATTTTGCCGCGATCCCGGACGACGACGATGACGTTTCCGTGACCGCGGGAGACGACGATGATGTCTACACGGCAGCGGGAAATGTTCATGATTTTGCCACGATAGTGGACGACGACAATGACGTTTCCGAAACAACGGGAAACGACGATAACGGTACCGTGACCGCGGGAGACGACGATAACGGTACCGTGACCGCGGGAATATCCGTGACCGCGGGAGATGGCGGTGATGTCTAAACAGCCGCGGGAAATGTTCATGATTTTGCCGCGATCCTGGACGTCGACGATGATGTCTACACGGCCGCGGAAATGTTAATGATTTTGCCGTGATTGCGGACGTCGACGATAACATTTCCGTGACCGCGGGAGATGACGATGACGTTTCCGTGACCGCGGGAGATGACGATGACGTTTCCGTGACCGCGGGAGATGACGATGACGTTTCCGTGACCGCGGGAGATGACGATGACGTTTCCGTGACCGGGAGTCTACACGGCCGCAGGAAATGTTCATGATTTTTCCGTGATCGCAGACGACGACGATAACGTTTCCGTGACCGCGGGAGATGACGGTGATGTCTAAACAGCCGCGGGAAATGTTCATGATTTTGCCGCGATCGATGACAATGACGCTTCCGTGACCGCGGGAGATGACGATGACGTTTCCGTGACCGTGGGAGACGACGATGATATCTGCTCGGCCGCGGGAATGGTTCATGATTATGTCGCGATCGCGGACGTCGACGATAACGTTACCGTGACCGCGGGAGATGGCGGTGATGTCTAAACAGCCGTGGGAAATGTTCATGATTTTGCCACGATAGTGGACGACGACAATGACGTTTCCGAAACAACGGGAAACGACGATAACGGTACCGTGACCGCGGGAGACGACGATAACGTTTCCGTGTCTGCTTGGTGGCGAGAAATGTTTATGATTTTGCCGTGATTGCAGACGTCGACGATAATGTTTCCGTGACCGCGGGAGATGACGATGTCGTTTCCGTGACTGCGGGAGATGACGGTTATGTCTAAACAGCCGCGGGAAATGTTCATGATTTTGCCACGATAGTGGACGACGACGATGACGTTTCAGAAACCACGGGAGACGACGATAACGTTTCCGTGTCTACGAGAGACGAGGATGACATTTTCAAATCTGTGTATTAGTACACTTCCCAATCCATTTTCTGATGCATCACAGACCATTACCAACGGTCTCATTTCTTCATATGGTACTACTGTGTCTTTACTTGATAGAATTTCCTTTACTCTTTTAAACGTCACCTCTTCTTGTTCAGACCATTTCCATTTTGAGTTAGTTCCAGTCAGCTTATGGAGATCACTACAAATGGCATGAAGTCCAGGAATAAATCGTTCATAGTAGTTAATAGAACCTAAAAATGATCGGAGCTCCTTGACATTAGTAGGTGACCGTGCCTCTCGAATGGCTTTTATTTTTTCTTCAGTAGGATGTATTCCATTTCGGTCGATTGTATGTCCCAAGTAAGTTACTGACTCTTCAAAAAATTTGCATTTACTAGATTTTGCTTTTATACCAGCTTCTTTCATTCGTTTCAAAACCTCTCTCAAATTTTGTAGATGCTCTTTCTTATTCTTTCCAGTTATTATAATATCATCCAGAAGAACTCCAACCTTTTGTATTCCAGCTAAGAGTCTTTCCATATATCTCTGGAAAATACCTGGGCTAGATGATATCCCAAAAGGTAAACGTTTGTATCTATAGTAACCACTATGCGTTGCTATTACTAAATACTTTTGGTGTTCTTCTGCAACATCCATTTGTAGGTATGCATCTCGTAGGTCTATCTTGGAAAACTCTTGTCCGCCTGCAACTTTGTTCGTTAGTTCCTCAAATGTCGGGATAATTGCATTTTCTGGGACCAAATTTTGATTCAACGTGACTCGAAAATCTCCACAAATCCTTATTGAACCATCATTCTTCTCTACATTCACTGTTGGAGTAGCCCAAGGAATAGGTGTAATACTCGTAGCAGGATCTACCTCTTCAATATATCCTCGTTAACAAGTCTTGTAAGTTCATTCTCAATTCGTTCTTTCAAAGGAAATGGAACCCTGCACGCAGAAAAATGCTGGGGGTTTGCATCTGCTTTAACCCTCCGAGTGTCCCTTGTTTTGGTCTTAATGTCTGCCTATTTTTTGCTCATTTGCAAGGTTTTATTAAAACGGATCTGAGAAGCTTAAAAACAATGTTAATTATACTGTTCTATATACCATTTTGTTTGGAAAATCATTGGCTTCAATATTATATATAAAACATAAGGAACATTTGTTCAAAAAAAATTTTTAGTAAAAAAAAATTTTTTGGAAAATTTCAAAAAAAAAAATAAGTTTGCGCTCAATGAAATTTTATAAATTATAGGTCTATAAATATTTGAAAATAGCCACTTTGTTCTAAATTTTATGAGGATTACAAATATATAATCATATAGTGAGGTAAGTTATCAAATAAATAAGTTATGAGTGAAAAACATATTTCAGTACATAGCGTTTAGCTAAGAATGCATAGCCTAACCATAGCTAGGAATCTGGCTGATAATTTACATCAATATCACTACCTACTTCTTCAGGATCATCAACCAGCCCTTGAAAATCACTTAAATCTTCTTATAATGCACCACGTATATCACTACTTTTGATTTTTAACACTAAAACAATGATAAACGTAATAAAACACATCAGTCATCGGTCCGAGGGTAACCTAGCTGTTTACAAATACGCACGTCAGCTGTCTGCTACAATTACGATCGGCTCGGAGAACATAAAGCGCTTAGAGACAGACCTCTGGAGAAAGCTTAGAATCTAACGAAAAGAACGATACCTAACTCGATCCAGTTCAATCCGATTCAGTCAGTCATAGAGCCTTCGCCGTAAACAGTGTTTGTGAGTCGCTGCAGCGACACAAAACACTACACAAAGTGTGTTATGTGTCGCTGCAGCGACAAATACACTCGGAGGGTTAACATGAATTCGTGCTTTATAACCCTTGATTTTCCCATGTCCTTCAGAGAATACATCTTCAAAGTCTTTAAGTACTTCCTTAACCCTCACATCATCCATCTTTTGTTGTTTTATATTTTGCTTACATTTTACTTTATTAATAGTTACATCAGGAGGGAGGTTCATATTAAAAGCTAATATCCATGGTAAACCAAATAGTGGTTTCTCATTTCCATTTACTACTGCTACTTTTAATCTACGTGTCTCATCACCTACTGAAACATCGACATAGCATTCACCAAGTATATCTAAAATATTGTTACCATATGCCACGTATTTTGAATTAGTCTTATAAAGTCTTGGTGAACCAATTTTCTCCCAAAGAGGCTTACCTATCATTGAGACCCAAGCTCCTGAGTCAAATTCCATGTTTGTAGCTACATTATTCAACTTTAAATAAATACGTGCTTTACAAATATGTCTTCTTCCCTTTTCAACATTGT